TATTTGAATTCTATCTGAATACAAATTGTTTCAAAAAATTCTGAAAATTCGATACCATTTTACATATTTTTTTAGTCGCTGACATTTTGCTATTGTTTTTAATTTCAATTTTATTTAAAAAATATTTTTTATTTTTTTTTTTTGAATTTAATCCTATTTAAAAATATTTTTTGAATTGTTTTTTAATTTCAATTCGATTTAAAAAATAAACTTTGAATTCTTTTTTTATTCCAATTCGATTAAAAAGAATATTTTTTGAATTGTTTTGGAATGTAATTCTATTTAAAAAATATATTTTGATTTTTTTTCAAACGTAATCAAAACTGTAAGCAGTTTTTATCGAAAGGCTTCCTGCTGAATAAAACTATATATTTACAGAAAAAATATTTTACAATGACTAAATTCAAATTAATATCCTAATTTAATAATTTCAATTTTCTTTTTCTGATAAGCTTAAAAAAGAACTTATTGCTGTAGCCGAATCTCAAAACAACTTATATAAACTAAAAAGAAATTTAGAAAATATTTTTTTCTAAGATTTGTAAGATTCGTTCTATTAGTGTATGGAAAGAATTACATGAAGATCAGCATAAAAATGCCACTAGATTGTTCAGTTCTCAGAATTTTGTCGTCTTTCGAACAAAAACACATTAACATCTTAAAAATCCTTCTATTTTTTTTTTATTGAAATTTTTCTCAACATTGATATTGAAATTCTGTTGCAGTCTATAAATTCACAAATCTTGAAAGGATCCTGATCTGAGCGTACGTTAGCTGAAAGTGTCAGGGAACCGTTTCATTCATTCTTATTAGGTTCCTGATAACATCCTGAAAATTAAATTTTGAATAGTCTCTAAATATAGACCTGGAAAGATCTTTACTAGTTCCTTGTATTTTCTTATCAAGATCCTGCTGATACTTGCATTTATTTTCTAAGTATTCAAAATGCCTGTTCTTGAACAGTTCCGCTGAGGGACCTGATCAATGTTTGACAGGATTTCTTAGTTGAGGACTGTGACTAATCTTTTTTTATTTCTGATATGATCCTTCTCTAATATAACTATGACAGTTGGCAGAATCCTTGTATCAGGATCTAGGGTACATCTTGACTGAAACCTAATGAAATCTTGATAAAATTTTCTTTATGATTTTTGTCAGATTCCTGAATAGGATTAACGGTGAATCTTAGTAAGATCCTATAAACTCAATTCAGAAAAAAATCTGACCAAGAACGTGAACAAATCTTGGATAAAATCCTGAAACAAACCTGACAGGATCCTTGAGATTTATGATTTGGAAAGATCCTTCAAGGCTATCTCAAGAAATTGGCATGGCCGAGTGGACTAAGCAGTAACCTGTAAAGATCTCTGCTAAATCCTTACATGTTCTTATCAAGATCGTGATTAGAATTGACATTGTCTTGCAAGTTTTGGAAACGCATATTCTTGAAAAAGTTCTGAAAAAGATCCTGATTGAAGCTTTCCAGGATTAGTCTGTTTCATATTCTGACAGATCTTATTATTTTCTTGCCAGGATCCTCGTCTGATGTGGCTATCACTCTTGACAGGATCCTAATACAAAGATTTGTCCTAGATCCTGACGAGAACCCGATACAATCTTGGCAGAATCCTCTCTCATTATTTTGAGAGGATCCTTAATAGAATCTTGAGGAGATCCTGATAGGATTCTGTATTCTCAACTCAGAAAAATATCTGAGCAGGAACTTGAAGAAATCCTGAACAGGATCTTGTTTCATCTTAAAAATCCAGGAGACAGGAAATACTAAGGATTTGAAACAGGATCCTGAATAAAAGCTTGACAAGATCCTTAAGATTCAGGATCCTGAAAGATCCTTCCAAGGTTTCTCAAGGAATGAACAGGATTGAAACTAGGGATATGTTTATCAGATTTTCTCATTAATTGACAAATAGCATTTTGAAGTCGCACCGTTTCTAAGCTGGGATCGATAGATCTCATCCTACGCCGTAAAATATTATCTACATCATTCAGACAAAGACATGCCTAATTGATATCTACACAACTTATCTACAGGTAGTTCACTTTCTCATTGTTGACCTGCAGATGGTCATAATTAATTAACTTGGCGTGATAAAATGCTGAAATTTACACTGCAGCAAGATGTATGAAAGTACCAGTTCCACTAAAATTTTCATTTCATTTGTTGAAGCTATGATGACTTAAACAGAACAGAAACGCATGGGAACGTAGTCTTTCAAAAGGACCTCTACTATTCGAGCGACATAGAAAAAGATCGCATTTCTAGAAAATTTGTCACTCTGACCAAAATGTTTTCATTTGTGTGTGTGGCTAATTCATCAGACTTTTCGATGTTAAGGTTTTCTTTTTGTTAGTTTGTTTTGACAGAGAGTCATGGCCGAAACATGACGGTTACATGCTCATCAGAATTGTTGACACTTCCTGAAAAAACACATTTTTTATAGGTTTAACAACAATACTAGATGATCTAATCATATCAAATTGTAGCTCATCCTCTAACGATACTACCATTATTTGCATTTTTTAAAATCCGTAAGTAGTCGTCGAAATATGATCGTACACAAAACACCGTTTATCTCAGAATTTCCACATAAAAAATGTTCGATTTTGGCTAGCGACTATCATGTATTCTCGTCCTTATTGAAAACAAATGGCATATATCAGTAGGGTATATACGAAAATCGATGGAAAATTTTTCAACGAGTAAGTACGGCCATCTTATGTTGGAGAAATGTTCTGCTCAACTTTGATTAAGCATGATCCATTTAGCGATGTAGACTGTACAGTACTGGGCAAATTTATAGAATTACTCCAAAGATTTTGATGCTTTCTATTGTAATTGTTTTCTGTTATTTATCAGGCATTGCACCGATAGTATTTAGAATCTTACAAAAGTATTTTAAATGTTTCAAATAATTTTTATCAAATATTATTCTATAAATCCTCACTGAACCTCGTAGTTAGACATAATGGGTCGAGCTAAAGTAAGCTCGAATATAAGAGAGCATCACTTGTAACTGATGATCCAGATTTGTTGCGATTATATAAGAAAGATCGAACCAGATATTATCATATGCTATCATTGGAACTGGTTCCCCTCAAATTGTAAACGTCCAAGTCCTCGAACAGTTCATTGGCGTCTAGTGGACATCGGTAACAAAAGGTATAGAGCAGTACAGATGCTGTTAAGAAAATCTGCTCTATAGAAACAACGACTTTCTTTTGTTAATTAACATTAATATTGGGTGAATAAGTGGAGCAACAATATTTCTAGTAATGGGGCATGCTTTGAAGTATTAAATCGAAAAGATGTTACATTAATTCGTCATTTACAAACGAAAAATGATGCATCCTTCAATTTTTATTCAGAGGATCCAAAGTGGTGAATGATGCTTAAGCGCCTGAGGCTTATGTCAGATGATACTCGTGACTCGTTGGCCATGTATTATGGGAACAGTGATGAACTAGCAAATGTTAAGGTCATCAAAGAAGCATTACCTTCTTTCATTAAAGCTATATTTGATGCATGGAACAACACCTGTGTTTATGCATGACAATGGGACTCCCTCACCGGCTGAAATATACCGTGAAATGGTTCAGAATCATAAGCATCATTATTATGAAACATCTGACTTCAAAATGATCAGATTTAAATCGCATTGAAAGGGTCAAGAAAGGTGAGCTCCACATGTAAACTCCAAATTTCGAGCTCACTTTCCCATCCACGTTTTACCATAAAATACAGTTCATGTTTTTCGGTTTAAAGCAGTACGGCCCTATTTGACTGAGAAACTAGATCGAGTTATATCTGATGTTCAATAGATACATTGCACGGGATGCTAGAGGCATCACCTGGGATGCCAAAGGCCTCACCTGGGATGCTAGAGGCATCACCTGGGATGCTAGAGGCATCACCTGGGATGCTCGGGGCATCACCTGGGTAGCCGTGGGGAGTAACCGTTACCAGTTATCGGGAAAGGGGGCAACGGTCCTACTCTTCAGGTACTGTTGGGTCCTCAAGCGATACCATAGGGGGGTACCCTTGGGTGCTCAAGGGCTACGTATGAGCCCTGGTCGCTTCTATCACTGAGAAATAGAACCTCGCAATTCCATTGGTCGAAACATGGACCAATTAGATTTCAGGGGGCTTTTTCTTTCTTATTATTCGGACAACCACTAGTCAAGTTCGGGCGGATCCTAGGGTTATCGAGGATTCTCTATCGAATGAGGGGTATATATGTGGGTCTCTGTAGCTTCTATCACTGAGAAATAGAACCTCACGATCCCATTGGTCGAAAAATGGACCAATCAGTTCTCAGGAGACCTTTTCTTGGTTATTATTCGGACAACCACTAGACATGTTCGGGCGGATCCTAGGGTTATCGAGGATTCTCTACCGAATGAGGGGCATATGTATTGGGCTCCGTCGCTTCTATCACTGAGAAATAGAAACCCCCAATCTTATTGGTTCCTTGTTGAACATGCAGATTTCTGATTGCTTCTTCGGTATTATCTCGGAAATTAATGATATAGCAGGATCCAAGAACCGCACGGTACGCCCCTAGGAGAGCTGATGGCGACTTATGGGTACTCCTATAGAATAGCCCCCGGCGACTAAGGGGTACCCCCTAGGATAGCCGGTGAGAACTTATGGGTACTCAGCTAAGATAGCCGATGACGACTTACTGGTATCCCCTTGGAGAGCCCACGAGGGCCTATGATACCCCTATAGGATAGCCCGGGCGGACTTGTCGTTAGCCCGATAGGATAGCCCATGAAGACTTATGGATACGCCATAGGATAGCCCATGAAGACTTCTGGGACCCCTACAGTAGGCCTTGTGGACACAAGAGTAGCATCCTTTAGTAGGCCTGGAGGACCCAAGGGTACCCCGCTATAGTAGGCCTTGAGGACCCAAGGGTACCTCAAGAGTAGGACCGTTACCCCTTTCCCCGGTAACTGGTAACGGTTAGTTCACACTGCTAGCGAGGTGATGCCTCTAGCGTTCCAGGTGACGCCCCAAGCATCCCAGATGATGCCCCAAGCGTCCCAGGTGTTGCCACAAGCGTCCAAGGTGTTGCCCCAAGCATCCCAGGTGATGCCGCAAGCATCCCAGATGATGCCCCAAGCGTCCCAGGTGTTGCTACAAGCGACCCAGGTGTTGCCCCAAGCATCCCAGGTGATGCCCCAAGCATCCCAGGTGATGCCCCAAGCATCCAAAGTGATGCCCCGAGCATCCCAGGTGATGCCCCGAGCATCCCAGGTGATGCCCCAAGCATTACAGGAGATACTACTAGCATCCTGGGAAATTGTGATTAGCATCCCAGAAAATGCTACGAACATTCTAGGCGGTGCTATGAATTATGGCAGAGGGGCTGAGAAGAAAAGTGAGTGCCAAACTGCGTAAACTTCAAATTTGGAGCTCACTTTTCTTGACCGAAGAAAAGTGAGCTCCAAATTTGGAGTTTACGCAGTTTGGCGGTCACTTTTCTTGACCCATTGAAAGTCTCTCGTGTCACGTAGCGATAAATCATTGAAACAAATAAAATCAATTAATGCTACAGAATTGCAAGAAATGATGGAAAGCAGGCAATATGACTTAAAATGAATAGAGTCAGGAATCAGTTGATTAAATATCAACTTGTACAAAACAACGTATCAAAAATCGTGGTGAAACATTTGATAAATATTAAAATTAAAATTAAAAAATCCTAGGAAATACTTTGATAGAGTCCCATTCTCTTTATGCCATTTGTCTCAATTTTCACCTTCGTCTCTGAAAAGGGCTACGCTCGATGGAGCCGAAAGATTTTTACAGGTCCTATACACACTACTGTGAGTGGTTTCTACTTTTGATTTTCCTTTGTTCGTTGTCTTTCGAATAGAAAAGTCAAAATATTGCGGCTACTCGAAAAACGCATGTTTTTTTTTGAGAGCTACAAAAATCAGCAGAACAATATTGCTTGTCTTGAAACCCAAAAAAATACTTACCCCAAATGATGTCAACTATATGTGAACAAAACGTTTCAGCTCAATCGTATATATCATGTTTGAGAAATGGGAGCGATTCTAAACTTTTTCATGGAAAAATTATTTTGAGAAAAACACGAAAATATGTAATTTTCGCTTGTTTCATTCTATAAGTTTACATTCTTCTCTAGTTTCTCGAACTTTAAAGACAATATTCAGGCCCTAATGTGTAATCAGTAGATAGATACTAGTTGAGACTATACTATGGTCACAAAGAGCTGAACATGGTCAAGAAAACAAACGTTGAGTCAGGAAAGAGGCAGAGGAGCATCCTGAATTACTTCTAAAATTCCGGCCACTGGAAATGTGATGATTCTGGTTTGATATCGGTATGTATGATACTTTTATTACATGATGAAAATTTCTTATCAGATCCTGAAAAAGCACATCTGGATTAGTATGACACATTGATCGAGAGCAACTATAACTCAGTCAAAAATAAAATTGGTTGAAAAAAACCAAGCCTTATAGTGATTCTATAATTTTTGCCGGTGCTGCATCTTATTTACTTCTATAGTAGTCACCAAACCTAGGTCAATATACATATATGCAATAGTTTTCATTTGGGTTTATTGACTTACTATGCATCACTATTTGCTTTTAAAGTAAGAAACGACAAGTATTTATTATTCGGAGATTAAAAAGGTCTGACTCGTCCTTCGTTTAGGGCAAGTATTAGATACTATTGAGAGAAAAGCAATATGCGTTGGATTTAAGTAAAAGGGGAGCCATGTTTCAAAACTTGTTTCAGACAAATAGATACACAGAAAAAGTTGAGTTAACTACCATGTTATAGGCTCTAGAATTTACAAGATGCGTAAAAATGTCTTTCTAGGAGGTAACGCTGAGATTTCAAATAGCATCTATAACAAATTTAATACCACACTAAAGCGCGTTAGCAATAGGATCTATCAATACTAAATAGTAACGGGTATGGCAACTTTCCAATATCGAATTCAGGAAGTTCCTGGAAGCATTAAGTGTGGGTGTATGGTTGTGTCTTGTTCTGTGTTGCGTCCACACTCACATACATACCCATACCCGCAATAGCTTGCAGAACAAAATGGACGTGTGTAATAAACAACAAAACCATATTCATGCAGATGAATATCATACCTCAAATCGTTGCAAAATTAGGCTGAAAATATATTATCTTAAAATAAAAAGATTGATTTTTCTGTTACTTATCTTATCACGTTTTTTTATTGGCCACATGTCCGGTTGTTTTCTTTACCACCTGTCATCTGCAAACTTAGGTGGACAGTTCGGTTCATCTGTCTTTAAAGTTTACTTTTGCGTTGCAGTTCGCTCAAAACTTGCTTTGAGAAAACTCAGGATGATACTTGTCGATGGATAAGTGATCTTTTACCTATACTAGTCATAATTTACTTTATTTTATCCGATATGAAAAAGAGCAGACGTAATTAATTTGTGAAGTTTCTTCGCACAAACCTTCTGTATCGGAATTTACATTTTGTTTCTACTTCTTTCATCATCAAGTCTATTGAATATATATTTCTGATATTTCAGAAGTTGAGATATTCATTCGGTAGCAACAATAATTCTCGCCGTCGATAGAGCAAAGCAAGAGTGACCAACCCAATAGTCAACATGACTGTTTTCTTGAACCATCCAATACAAATATTCAAACCTCGCCTCTTCCGATTTTCTGACTGTCTCAGAAAATGATTCTGCATCGTTCAGCATCGGAAAATCTTCTTTCGGAATTTTTTTATCCAAAAATTCACACAAAGGTTTCCAACCATCTTGTACTTTGTACATAAGAATTCTTTCAGGTGAAATTGATGCTTTTATTTTGTTAATATAGAGTGGCATCATCTGTTCGCCTATAGCAGGATAGTTGTATACATCTCACCACCAGACCGCTCGAAACTGTTTCAATCGTTCGAAATCGCGGAGACCTGCAACTGGCCATAAACAAAAATAGTCCCAAAGCGAATAGCGTGTTTCGTTGATAGTATGTTGAATAGATCTAAGCCATTTTTCAGGATCCCGATATTGCACGATAACCTTGGTAATGAATATATACAGTGTGATCCAAAAGCAACTTTATCGAAGAGACACTGAATATTTTCACTATGTGTTAACAACATGAGCTGATTTTCTTTACCATTGATAAAGGATTGTAACTTTTTAGAAGGTTTGGAATAATGAAATAGCCTCCTACAGCCAGAATAAAAGATATAGGTGATTTTTTCAATTAGCTCTCCCACTATAGCCGTCTGGCTTGATAGTATACCACATATGTGTCACAGACAAAATTAAACTTAGGCAGAACTCGTTTTTAATTAGGCGCAAAACTATAAAATGATTTTTTTTTTCATTTAAAAATATATTCTAATTTTCATTTCAATTAAGTATAGAGATAGCACGCACTTGCTTATGTTTAATTAAATAAGCACCTACTCCAGAGAACACAAATTAAAAAAATCCATTTTTTTTAAATTGGTAAATAACTAGGCAAAACTTAACAAGGTAATTTATTTATATTTTACATATCCTGTATGAACGTCATTAAATTCAAAGACAAATAAACACGGATAAAAAATGATGTCGAAATAAATATAAGTAAAGTTTCTGTCTTTTTTTGGTCGAAGCTTCCTAAGTGAAAGTAGATTTCATTCGATGCATTAGCGATTTCTATATCGTCCTAAATTGAACTTAAAATTAGTCCATTGTAATACAGTCGTATTGATAAGTCAGTGTGAAATAAAAGTTTAGAAAAATCGATTAATAAATATAAAATTAATATAAAAAAAAGCAAACAAAACTACTTTCTTTTCGTCTCTATCAAAATTACTTCATGATGAAAACATTTCAAAACTATGTTTAATTTTTACTTAAAGCTCAACTTTGCCTGAATGTTCAGTTAGTCAGAGTATCCTAAACGTTTCAGTCATAGGTAGCAAAAATTTTCTAAAAAACCACAAATGTGTCCCAATATAATTCTGTGTGGCTGGAGTCAAAATTTTATCTGTAGATTATGCCACATAATCACTACTAAGATATCAAACAACGCCAGAAATTATAGTTTAACATAAATTACAACAATTTTTGGCCTTAACCTCACAGGTTTACATGAGATACATTTGGAGTTTTCTCAGTAAACTCTCACTACTTATCATTGAGACGTTTAGGGTACCGTGACTAACAGACACGTATATATGGGATGAACACTAGGGGGAAGTGCGGAATTTTGAAATCTTGGAATTCTATGGAATTTATTGGAATTTAACTGAATCCAGTATAATCCTAGAGTTTCAGTGAATCTTGCGGAATCCTATAGAATTTTAGCGTCCTCAGCCTAAAGGCCTTAGATATACTACTATTGTAAGAGAATCCGTGAAAAGACATCACCAATTAATAGAATATTCTAATAACATTTTTCGTAGTTTCCTGATTCAGAACTTTTTGTTTTTAAACCCTAAAGTTGCAAATTGGTCTCCTTCAATATGTATATATTTTAGGTAAAGAACAGTATTTCAGATCTTCTGAAAAGTTGCAATTTCTTATTGCAGTCAATCATAACACTTCAAAATACTTTTGGTCCACGTTTTTTTATGAAAAGAAGCTGTAACTATTCCTTTATCAGTGGTAAAAATAAAGCTGCTCATATGGTTAACACATAGTGGAAATATTCAGTTTTCTCTTCGATAAAGTTACTTTTGGCTCGCCTGTACATTTAGGAAGAAAGATAAAAGGAGTCAGGATTCTGTGATTACAATATATTTTTTGACAATACCTTCGCTTCAGGATAGGCCTGAGCAATTTCAACTGCAAAATCAACAAATGGAGAACAAACCCCGGCCACATATTCTGGAAACTGTTTATCAAAGAAACATCGCCAATCTTGACTGGTCCATGTTTTCTCCAAATGAGTTTCGTAGATTTCTCGCCAAGCTGCTGCTAGGTGAGGATCAGCCATACAAGAACGGATGTGCATTGTCTTTATGTAACCCAATTGTTCAAGAGCTGCTTGCGTTGATACCGTACCTGTCCGTGGTAAACCCGCGACAATGACCTTGATCGGCATAATATATAGACTGATGATACAATAATGATCTAGAAGAGAGCCGACTGTATTATGAGGAAAATTCCAAATTAAAAGAATGGAAAATCTATAAAAACAATAGTTAAACAAGCACAAATGTGCAGCAATGGTAGATCGAGAAAAAAAGAAGGAGAACGCGCCTTGTTGATGGGTGTTCACGTATCGGGAACACCTAATCGTGGAACAATAACTAACAAA